TTCATTACAAAGATAGATAATTTTGGTTTCACGAAAAAGTATTGTAAACTGTATAAAAAAAATCTTTAATGAATTGTATAATGATCTTCGCTATATTTCCTTATATGGAACGGTCATACCTGAAATATTTGAGGCACAAATATATACATGTACCAGTTAACTCTAAACTTCGATCCATTACATAATAATATCACGTGGTTATATGTGATCGGAATAGGGATCGGAGATCGAAATCTGTAAATTTTTCTGCCATGACTAGTCTACTATTTTGTTAATCGTCACTAGTTTCGTCACTCGTCACAGGTTTCGTCAATCGTCAGGGGTTTCGTCTGACGAATTACGTGACGAAATGTTTCGTCATCATGAAAATAGTTTCGTCAGGTATTATTATTATAACAATATGGATTCGATAAAAATTGAGCATACATTTTTTTGAGCTGCCGATTGGTATGCACATGCATTTTAAATGGTCAAGAAGAGTTTTCTCTTCATATCCGAAAATGAATCATCTTAATTCATAGAAGTTTAAAAAGCTATGCTATTTTCAGGATAGTATTTATCGTTATTATATTTTTCTAGTTTTGAATATTACCTGTAATGATTGTTATATCCATCATTAACGTGTTAAATACATGTAGAAGGTGTAATGCGATTTTATTGTTGTGTAGAAGTACTAGTTTATCGATCTATAAACTTTAATTTAGTATTAATATTATTGTTATTAGAATACTTAAAAAAATGACTTGTTAACGTGCTTCGCTACAACACAATACTTAAATGCCTTTGTTTATTCATCCATTTCTTTTAATATTAAATTGCCGCCGTTTGCATATTTGTATAGCATAGGTGGTTTTTATTAGTATGAGCTAAATTAAGTCAAGACAATTACTGAAAATTCATGATTTAATCATAATTACCTTCGATACTATCTTTATAATCCTCCAATTTATTCAGAAGCTCAAATAACAACAGACCCATAATCGGATTGTATTTCAATTGCGATTCGATTGCAAGAAACCCTTCTGTTTTTCGAACAACAGAAAATTCTCTCACTATGTAATCCATTACTGGTTCTTTAACATCATCCCATTTCCATGCTGAATCAAAAAGGATTCCGGCAGCATTATTCTCGTTAAGTTCTTCCCAGATACGAATTTTCGAGAGTCTTCGTAATTCAGAAATTAGATACTTGTCGCTAATCGAAAACATTGCTATTGCTGATGTTGAAGAGTCTAATTTACCAAATCGTATTTCATTGGTGTAAAGGAACCGGATCATTTCATAAAAGCAATCATAATCGAAATCTGGAATATCTACTGAATATTTGATTCCCGGTGCGAGATTTGTATTGGTGTTGGCGGTAAAAGAGGAAGAGACAGAGGCAAAGACATTATCAGCAGTTGTCGCGATGCTCATTTCCTCTTTCTTTTTTTCGGTTTTTTTACTATCAAGAGCCAGAGACAATAACGACGACGACGAAGGCGAAGACGACAAAGGAGAAGATGGCTGTTCCTGGTTATTTAAGTTTGGCTCATACTCCGCCCATTGCTGATTGAAAAGATTTTCGAAATATTTACAACGCTTTGCTAGCATCAGTGTTTCAGCATAGATACATTTATTTGCAAAATTAAATTGCACATCGGCACTCTTTCGATTATTAATTTTTTCAGCCCAAGCTTCAATAAATGTATTGGGAAATGGTTTAGCAAGAATGAAATATTTCATATCGGGCGCTTCGTGCTCAACATCCTCAAAAAATAATCTAATAAGAATCTGCGCTGGAATTTTGCTTAATGAGATACTTTTGAATCCTTGGATTTGAATAGAAAAACGCGCGTTAGAAAATCAATAAAATTTCACAAAGTCAATCAATAATACCTTTAAAAGGTGACTGGATGTTCAGATTTACTTTTGCGGTATGTTGGTATATCGGAGGGGCTCTATATAGAAACTATTCTGTTATTGTTTGATAGAAAAGTGATGATACTATTATTCAAAAATAATCTTTTAACCTCGAATGAGTAGGTTTGTTAAGATCGTCCAAGCAAAGATTAACATTCACGCCTTGACGGAGCTTCCAAGTGCTCATTTCTCTTTCATCGTCGTTTGGAATCGCTAAAAGATAAATTCGCCCATAATCGTCTTCCTATAATCAATTTTTAAAATCATAACGATAATATAATTGGTCGAATCTCAGGAATTTAAAAATAGAAAAAGCTATAATGCTTACCACTGTCCATTCAAGTTGCCAGCATATATCGGGTTTAGTAGCAAACATTGGGAATCGCGCGAATTTTCGTGAATCCATAATATGATATTCGAAACCCATTTTATAGCTCGAGTTAGTACTGCTGCCACCACGAAAATTTTGCATGATTGATTGATGATTCGGAAAATTTTTTGTTCGCAGTAAAGCAAAATAGCGATTACGTATGACACGTGCAGATTTCTTATTTGGATATAATACAGTCATAACATAGTCATAACACCTTTTCTACTATCACACCTTTTTATGACTACTCATTTGGCTAAAACAACATGTATATGTATGATATAATCAAAATAATTATAACGATATAAAAATGCGGATGAATTCTCAATCATACACACACATCTTTATAAAACTTTCAATATGCCTGTAAATATGCCCGTTATCGCATTTTCTTTCGCCTTAGGACTTGGGATCGGAATAATGATCGGAGACTTGCTTCGCGATCCCATTTTACAATTTGTTCGTACATGGATACCAGTTAACAATAATAATGCCCAGATGCCGTGTCCTTTCTGTAATATGCGCTTTGCAAATTTGATTGATCTTCGTCGACACCGCACTCAAATGAATCATTGATGGATGTGTTTGTATGTTAAATATAATATCTAATATATTATTTTTTATTTCTATAAAAATGTTAATCTATGACTTATTCTCGTTATTCTATTGCTATTACTTGCCAGATCTCCGTCGACATCAAATACTACTTTAAAAAATATCTTCATCTTGATTAGAAGAAATTACTGAATTTCTACTTTTTGTAAATAATGCCCCATCACTGAAGAGTGTAATTGATTTTATATCACAGTTTTCAAATAATAATACGCCAAATCGTCTTGATTATTATATTCCAAATTTAGTTATTAGTTCGGTTTTGTCGCGCTTGCTACGTCAATCTCGTTGAAAGTTTTCTGTGTTATCCGATGTAAACAAATAAAAGAAATCATAGTTTTACGGAATATAACATTCGAGAAGTTTTTTACGATATATAACGGTGATTGCTTTGAGTTTGTGTTTCTGAAAATCGGACTTATTCATGATAGCAAATGTGAACTTCGCAGGTAACAGGGTTTACCAAATTCTAATTCTTTTCAGGTGATTAACTAGCGCATTTAATATGGTTTCCTTTAAGTAAACCGATATAATTTGAAAACTTAAAGTTTAATAATCATAAAACTTTGGTAAACCTGACCCCTTTTACCTGCGTTCAATTGAGAATTTAAAGAAATGAACTATCATGTAGTAACATATAACGATAAAGCTAAAGTGAAAAATATTATAGTTGCTCTGACCGTCCAAAATTGTTTATTGTTTAATATGCACAATGCAAAATTCTAAGATACATAACAAGAAAGTTGCACCTTCTAACACAATTATTCCGCATATATACAGTATAAGTTAAATAAAGAATAGAATAGAATAATGTAATTGTTTGAAAAAGTAATAATCGAAACAAATACCTTTTGAAGCTTGCTTCTCACATCAATAAAGTTATGCAAACTGCAAGTATTCTATTTTACGCTACGCCATGCTTTGGTGATATATGTTTCTGGACTCTTTGGAAAAAACTCGTAAAAATGACAAGAATGGAGTAAAATTTTTACTACAACATTACTTCATTTTATTTGTCAAACTTCAGTTAATTTGCAAATGTTGATTCTTTATTTGATTGCTACAACTACTGGATTATGAAATCGTAAACCATTTGACTAAACCGCGTATATGCTTTATTTAATTTGCTCTTGAGAAAAAAATCATCAATCGATACATTTGTGTTCTTTTTCCCCAAAATTCCAAGCTGTCAGTATTCTATTTGATAGATACATGTAGTTGGAATTTGAAGCAGAAATTTTTTCTTAGAACAGCATTGAAACTTCATTTTTACTGTATTTACTTGATCCTCTTGAAGAAATAAGGATTAGACGATTTATTCTAACTGATGAAAAAGAAAATAATTTGCATTTACGAAAAGCGATGCAATTTCTAACGCATGTTCAAGTGAATATATACAGAATAAAAAGACAAACTATCTAACAGACATGTATATTGTTAGTAAATTCAAATCTATGCAATATTATTTTCCAATTCTATGCAATATTATATGTCAAACTCTATGCGGTATTATACATGTATTTTCAATTCTATTTTAAGCCTTATGCAGTTTCATATGTCAAATTCAATCTTCTACGTATTTTTCGGTCGATTATACATGTATTTTTGATTTTTTTTGAAACAATATCCACAATTATATCATAAATTCTCTCCGAAACCATTTACTTAATTATATCTTAAATTATCTCTTAAACAATCTCCTTAATTATATCTTACAAACCAACGCCCTTAATTGTATTTTTTTGCGTTCTCTCTTAAACAATGATTTCTGTTATTTTTTGTGCTTTCTTCAAGTCGCGTTTCTTTTTTTTTGTAAATACTATCAGCATTCTATAAAGAATCAGAAAATAATTGTGTACAAATCTTCTCCAAGTAGACTAATACTTGTAAAATCCTTCTCGCATTATTCGTTATCGTTATAGCATTTGATGGTTATCGTTATGATCTTAATCCAAAAAAGGCAATATTATGGAATAATTGATAAATTAAATACGTAACATGTTTGATTGTGATAGTTTAGAGCTTTTATTATAATAAACTATAAATAAAACCTATACTCATAGTATTTAGCAATATAAATACAGAGGCCTCCCAGAATATTGTGGACACTTTTTAAAATACAATAACGCAAAAACCAATAAAAAAGCAAGATTTATGATTCTAAGCTAATAGAATCTTTGAAACATATTGTATATTATATCAAAATTTTAAGTGATTTCAATAACTAGTTCAAAAAATATATATAAAATAAAATTTAGTATCAAACCGAAATTTATGTGAAAAAATATTATTTTACAAAAATGCAAATATTTTCGCATCTAGTAAATCAAATTAAATAATATTTTATCTACAAATTCTCCAAGATGCATCTAATGATATCAAAAACATTCAATTTGAATTACTAGATACAGAGATATCACGTCTCAAATATAACATACCAAACTGGAATAAATTTTTTTAAGAAAATAGTTTTTTGTGAATATCTCAGTGTCCAATTAACCAACTTAGATAATTTTGATATCATCAGGTTTGCCTTGTTTATGTAAATCTAGTGATATCAAAATCATCCAATTTGGTCCATTGGATGCAGAGATATTTGCAAAAATAGTTTTCTTTAAAATTTTCTTTAAATATTTTTTTACTTCAATTTTTGTATGGTATTTTTGAGACATTATATTTCTGCATCTAGTGATCCAAATTATATGATTTGGATATCATTAGATACATCTTGACTTGGTGAATCTGGTGATATAAAATTATTTAATTTGGTTTACTGAATATGAAGATGTTTGTATATTTATAAAATAGAATAATTTTTTTCATGTAAATTTTCGGTTTGATACTAAATTTTATTTTTTATATTTATATATATGTTTTTTGAACTAGTTATCGAAATCACTTGCAATTTTGATATAATATACAATATGTTTCAATAATTCTATTAACTTAAAATTATAAATCTTGCTTTTTTATTGGTTTTTGTGTTATTATATTTTAAAAAGTGTCCACAATATTCTGTGAGACCTCTGTATTAAAAGGGCATATTGATATTATGGATAATATAGAATATTTGTTCATTTTTGTATTGATAAATTTTATATTGAAATTTTCTATTATATATGGATATACAGGAGATTTTTAATATCAGTATAAATCACACAAATTTATTTCTAATTTATACCAGATACTGTTACCGGGTTAATAATAATTTTGCCAATCTCTTGATTTTGGTAAAAATCGTCTAGCCCGATTTCGTTAGTTTAAATTCGCTTTTGAAATTCTATTTTTATTTCGCTTTTGTTTTCTATCTTAAAT